CCCTGCGCCGCCACCGCCAAGCGCCGCTGTTCGGCTGCACCGGATGGGCCCTCGGGCTCGTGTCACGATGCCGCAGCCGCCGTTTAAACGCAAAGCCGCGCCACGAAAAACGAACGGAGAAACATAATAATTAATTTCTCGCTCATTATTTTTATTATTTTTTTTACCATTATTATTATTATTATTATAACTGCGCATATACAAATTATATTCTTGTTATCCGTCTTCTATATTATGTGTTATAACGTGTATTCACAGCGTACACCACGAACATAGCCTTGCCCTGAGAGGCTTTCCGCTTTGATGAGAACCAAAGTATAATATGTATACCTACCTACGATTCGATTTAACCCGCGCTGCAATCAAGACACCGTACATATTATAATAAATACGACGGCCAATCCTTATTCATATCAGCTATTATAACACGCCATATACACAAGACGTTATCTTTTTTGTAATTGGTTATTAAAGATAAATTGTTTTCTATTTCTCTAGGCGAGCGTGCGCGGACTGCGGTATACATTTATTAATGGGGTCAAAACTCAGCACTAAAAATACCTTAATTTTACCAAATCCTCGTACTCGTCTACTATAATTAGCTATGCCCAGTGGTCAGTGGATAAAAAAAAGTGGCCGATGGATCTAATCGGATTAATTCCTAAAAACCGAGTTTTCATAAAAACATTAAATGGATGTATTTTTACTTGTATAACTGATTTAGTAAAAATAAAATGAGCAAAAAAAAAAGTAAATTCATTACTGGGCTATCATTTTGAAACCGGATGCAAAATGAGGAAGTATATTATTCCATTGTGTGATGTCCAAAGGTTGCCATTACTGCCATAAATAAATAAATAAATGCGTATGGCGTATTGACCAGAAGTGGCTATGGCTAACTTTAGCATTCGGGGTTGATAGTATGAGTCGCCGCTAAAAATCCCGGGTGGTCACCCATCCGGGATCAAGGAATAAAATCATAAGACAGAAGCTTACGATGAGATGGAACTTTAAAATTATAAAATGACCTGGCCAAGCAATCAGTGACTTTCACAAGCGTAGTTTAACGCATTTCTGTTGGTGGGGGGGGGCTATACCCTTTATACAATTTTGAAAGTACAACCTTGTGGGGGAAATTACCGGTCCATGTTTAAGCCATCCACAATTTTTTTTACGCATCTAATATCTATAGGCCACACGAGTTTAAGTGAAAATACCTACATTTTATTTTTTGTGTACTTAAATATAAAAAAACTGTTATTTTGCAATGGTCCCTGCACTTTTATAACAAATAGTAATAAGTACACAATAAAGTTATTAATAGAAAAAATAAAATAAGTACAAGTAGTATTAAAAAATTGAATTTAACCGTCTACAACTTTTTTATCAATAATTTTACAATTCAATGGTTTATGGTAGCATTGTTTTCTTAACTTATCAACATTTATGGCAAAAGATAATTTTGTGGATAGTAGTTATCAAATCTTGGTTATTATTATTTATTTAATTAAGTGTATAAATTTTAAAATTATTTATGCCAAAAAAGAAATGTATGTATTCACTATTGTGTAAATATTTTTTAATACGCAATAATCAATACCTAAAACTTAAGTCATATCACGGCATGACTCATGAGCGACATGATAAGCTGTAAACCAAATAATAACGTACATCATAAGCGAATTCAACAATAAGGAATTTTTCCTGGGAGCGGAAGTGTTGATCCCAAAAAAAGTGTCAAATTTAACTCGGTTGTGTATACCTACTTTAATAGTAAGGGTGTATGCCTGAAGAATATAACTATATGTGCGCGTGGGAAAAAATGTGTTCTGGAGAAAAAAAAAATGTCAAGTGCAATTCAATGTTAATATGTGTCATTGGCGATTAGATGAAAGGGAAAACGCAAAGTATATTGATCATTAATCATTACAAATCCTCCGAACAAAGCGATTCGATGTACAATTCTGTGTAGTCGTTTCCTACTGCGAGGGACTGGTGCGGTGTGGGTAGAAAAATGGTCACTGGTCAGCGGTCAGCAAATTAACAAAACGCTCGCGTCTAGACGTGTGGTTTACATTTTGTTAAAATTCTTGTAAGACCGCGAACCTTTCGTGTGGCAGGATAGAAAAAAATAAGACCCTTTGGCACGGTGTCCTAGCAACAGCTATCGCACAAACGACCAAATGCAGACATCATAATATAAAGGTGGCTTCAATTTTGTAACGTTCCGCTACAACCCATTTGATTTGATCCATTTATCATTCAATATTAAAAAAAAAACTGTAGACCTTGAGACATATGACATGTCAAAGAAAAAAAATAACAATATTCAACATTTTGACGATTTATAAAACGTTATTGTATATAAGGGTTTTCTCGTCGTCAAACTACCAATGCCGACCGCCGACGGGTGGGCTACTACTTGCACGGATTTCAAACGTTTTAGCTACTGGGTCATTCGTTTACATTTTTTTTTTACCGCAATAATGCTAATTTTTAATCTGTCGAATATGTCTTATTTCATGAGTGGAGACTCACCGCTTTAAAAAATGTATAACATATATGACACAAATAATTAATCGTAAAAAAGAAAAAAATTACCATAAACTTTGAATTATTATTATTCTTTAATTTTCAAAGCCGGTTTTTAATAAAAACGATTTTAATGAAATTCTTGAGTTACAATTGTCTTGTAACCATTTGAATTACGTACAGAAATATATATACACATATTCATAGTCCAATGTCTTTCCTAAAGATTGATAAAACATTTCTACTAAAATTAAAAAAGTTATCTAGTTTTCGACTATCATTTTACTTAAGTTATTTTCTTTAGAAATTCTTCGGTCTCCGTTCATTGTATTTGTTCCGAAGTCAAAATAAATGTGTATTACAATTTATTTTTACGTGTAAAATGATTAATCGATTCTGGAAAACATTAAAAACAATTTTTGACATTTTTATGTCTTTGCTTTAGCACACAAACGGAAAAATCGACACCGGTTATCATAACGAAAATATCAGCTGATTTATCTGATAAGATAAGATTTTACTTGGAACACAACCGGAAAAATCGACACTTTTTATCATAACGAAAATGTATCCTTATAATATATCCTTATGAGAATGTGGATGGGGATAGGGCGTTAAATTTTTAAAATTATGTGTTGTTTTCACAACGAACAAACTTGAATGAATGGTTAAATTGATTCAAAATAACCAAGTGAATGTTTTGCTAATAAATCGATTAAGGCCAATTACTAAAAACCTTTTAGCCACAACATAAAATTTACCTTTTGAGTTCCGTGGTTACTATTGTTACAAACCAAATGTTATTTTTCATGATATTGTAATTTATAAATATTTAAATGTGTATTATATATTTATTTATATGATTTATAATAGACTGAAGTTGAATTCTCTAAGTCAATAGTATAAATACAGTTTAATAAAGGTGATATAAATAAAATGTATAAGATTTTTTGTTAGAAGTCATTACTCATTAATAATAATAATAATTACATATATTATATTATGTTGGTTAAGAGCCGGATTTGTTATTTGGACCCATCCCTCTATAATCCAAGAAATACATTTGTAAAATAAGTATACTCAATAAAAAGAATAATATAACTCAACGACTTTATAACTTAAAACGTCTCAACTCTCAGCCCCCAAAATATCTAGAAATCACCAAAGAAACTGAAAAATATATAACTTTTAATATAATTATATATTTTCTAAATATTTGAGGAAGGCCATTTGGACATGAAAAATATTGTCCTTCATTACACAATTTAAAAGTTGGCAACCCTATAAGTATGGTCTGCGGATAATCTAAGCGTGTACGAGATAATATTACATAAATTATATTTTAAAATAATAGAAAAACATACTAACAAGAATAACAATAAGATAAGCTATAATACTAATTAATCATAGTGTTCACACATGATCACTACATTTCCTCACCCATTAGACGTAAGTTTCCTCAAAAACTGGTTACATCATACAGTATATAATAAAAAAAATAACTGATTTAGGTAAAATATAATACAAAGATAAATCAATTTGATATACTAATGGCGATAGAATAATGAATACAATATTATTATGAGCATAAAATATTGTTGTCATACATATTGTTATACCATTAGCAACATTTATATTACACAGATAGAACAATAATTTAATAGTTAATAGAAATGCATCGTTCTAATTCTTTGTTAGTTAAGCGACTTATTAGCAAATCGAATATGCATTTGGTAAAAATTAGGTCTGCAATCGGATCGTGTGGTGTAGTGACAAGTTTATGACGAGTGTCACATAGAAAAGCATTTGTATCGGATAAGTTAAGTAAACGACCATTTTTAATGTGATCCTATAATAATTTTACAAATTGTGTTTGTTTTATCTTTTATGTCGAGTAGTCTTAAATAAAATCTATGATCATTTTATATTTCATAGGCCTATAAATTTAAAGTAATGTATTGAGACAACCCTAACGTTTGAAGTATCTTATAGTCCTGGCTTCCTCCCCATAAAATAACAATAGTTTACTCATGGGTACTACGATTATAAGATCCTAAAATTCGGATGTTAGTGTATTAAAAGGACAATTTAAACTTTCATCAATTTGTTCAAGAAAAGGATATAGTTTATCTTTCAGTAAATGACTACGTGCATGTCGTCTTAACCTATCTAATTTAGAAGTTAAGAAATTGAGAAATGTGAATTTTACACGGGGATCCTTGTTTACAACTTACATTTTGGATACAAATATCTTGACACATTCTATCTCTACCCAGTTGGCCATTTTCACCATTTCGGCCTAACATTAAGTAATAAGTATAGTTGAGCCTATAAATTTAGTATTGCTCAACTTAACTTATTTTTTACTGATAAAGATGGTCGTTGGTCATAAGATAATTGTTTCATTGTTACTATTTTACAATATAATGGATAATGATTAAACATTTTCAATAATTTAATAACAGTAGTTTAAACTTAATAAATTCATTCATTTTAATTGTAGACATTTTAAATATTTAACAGGTTTTTCTCATAAGTAATTTATAATAATTCCTATATAATTAATGATAATGATTATATATTCTATGATACTTCATAGAATATCAAAAAAATCAAGTACATTGCATTTAAAGAGGATAAAGAATTCCCTTTGCAACTTTATCCTTTTCTTCTTTGTTTAGCAAAACTTCTACAAGGCGTAACCCGAATTCAACTGCAGTAGCGGGTCCACGACTTGTTACCAATTTTCCTAAAAATAATAACAAAATAGCACAGTATAGTACTAGAGTATATTCAGTTCAAATTAAAGGTAACATATGTTATAATAAAACATATTTAACTATATTATATAATTCAGTTTCAATTTCTAAGTAAGTTTTCAGATAGCAAATTTTCCATTTCCCAAGTATTTTAGTGACATTTGGGGAGTTAATTTACAAGATGAGTATTACTCACAACTGACCAACCAGAATTTACTAACCAGGGAGTCAATTTTCAATTTAATCAAAAGCTGTTTTAAATCGAAAAGGGTTTTATTTTTTTGCTAAATGTCTTAGTGTGGAAATATTGTTTTACTGCCCGTCACATTTGATGTTTTACATTAACTGGTGTCCAGTCATTGAATGTTGGTTTAATTTTTTTTTATCGCAATTAAAAATTGAAAAATGTGATGGATAATTGTTTACGATCCAATTGAGTATTGACCTTCTAGTGTCTATTAATATAAAAATAAAATGTATACCATCGACAACAGTAGAATCTTCTTTATAATTGTATGCACCCTCAATATCACTTTTAACACTTGGATAAGAAGTCAAATTTTTTCCTTTAGCGATGTCATGTTTATACAATACGAACGGTGCTGTAAAATAAATTATGAATAATTAGTTTATTTAAAACCCACACAAATACAAGTAAGCAGGGGCAGATTGGTCAGACAGATATGTAGGCCATTATTATTTAAATGAGTGAAAATGTTGGAGTGCATGTTTATTTTTTGGCCCAATTATTTATATAAAAATATCAAATAAAAGAGTGTGTTTGGAAAGAACGTCTCAAAAAAAAAAAACACATTCATGGAACACATGTGAAATAAATACTTTTTCACTGAACGAGTTTCCTATTTATTAAGGAGTAAGTGTAGGCAAGTTTTTGCAAAATCATATTTTAGAGCTTGAGCCTTGACTTATAGTGTACTTATTAATAGAGTAATGAGGATTCTTTATTGATTGTCGTCAGTCATTTGACTTTCTATAAGATAAATTACAATTTTTTTCCCATCAAAATTGTTTTGCGAGGGATAAATTTATGAGGTCAATATTCAAAGTTACCAAATTTTTATTTTTTCAATAGTATTACTCGCTAACTTTTAATAAAAAAATTAAAAATACAATTTTTTTTTTATTATATTCATTGGTAAAAAACGGGTGTTGTGTCAAGTTAAAAGAATAAAAACGTTACAACACAGGTAAAGTTCTTATCTGTGTACAGTAAAATGTTTATAATTCTACTACGAGAACAACCTAAACAAAATATACACTGAAGCTTATACAAATTATCCTGAAAATAAATTGACAGGGTCGAAATTCTTTCTTAATTATTGTCTATATAAAACCCCTTAAAAACCGCCTGCTTTCCATTCCCTTAACTTAAAAAAAAATGAAGGGTTAACCCCCTGATTTTGGCATTAAATGTAAACAATTTCATATGTTTAAAGAACATTTCCAAGACTGGAAAGATTTACGTATTGTTGTACAGTTTAAATCATAACTTTAATTCTTTATTGTTTAGTGGAATATGAATTATTTAGCATTTATCAAATTAAGATACATGGTAAAATGTAAAATTACAATTGATAAAATTATCAATTGGGGGAGTAGTTTTTCTTTCTAAATTGTACCGGTGAGAGGGAAAGATTATTGTACTTAATAATTTGAACCTATTAACCAACTTTCAGTAAAAGAAGTTTTATTCCTACGCCGACCCTACAAATTAACTTCATTTGACATCAATTTAACCTTTAATGACACACGTGGTTTCCAGTCATACTTAATTTAAGTGTGACTTAGTTAAACTTTTCACGTCAATCACACACGTGAGTACCACAAAAGAATTGGTTTATTTTTATTAAATTTATTAAAGCCCAATAAAGTGCAAAATATGTTTACTAGAAGATAATCTACTGTTTACTTTATTTAGTTTTCAATAACTTATTTTTTAAAGAGGAAGGTAAGAGGACATAATCTTAACTTTTCAAGTAAATTTGTTGAAATATACATTATAATAAATATCTAATTAAGATAATTGTATGAAAATTTAAATATTACCAGCACAAATAGCAGCAATAACACTACCAGCTTGCTCATGTGTTTTCAATATTTCTCCAACCACACTAGCCTGTAATAGTTTTTAAACAAATTTAAGTATACAAAATTAGAAGTTTATGCAATGTTAACTATTATAGTGAAATCTGTCTATAGCGGAATTATAGTTGATTGAAGGAACATTTCATATTAGGCAGTTTTCAGTTATATATAGTAAGTATACATGCATAATGGTTTAGCGGGATCATACACAAATTTTCCGGTTTATAAAAGTCCATTTTAGAAAGGTTTCACTGTGTTTGTAGGACTTTGCGTCTGATTTTTTAAAATAATTTTATATAGGCAGTTTTTGTTAAAAAACAATTTTACTACTTTTGTATAAAGTATAAACATACCAATAATAAATGAGTAGTTCTACTTAAAAATATTATTTGGCTTTTATCCTACTAAATTAAAGATGGCGCCTTGTAGTGTATCATTGTTGGTATAATTTTTCTTTTAATTATTAAACTTCATACAGTTTTATTTTGAAGGATCTAGTTATTTGTTGCCAGATAACAACAGTATTAACATTGTATTTGTAAGACTTGATACTGTAAGAGTTAAATACTGCTGTTATAAATTCGGAAATAGCTTAGTAGCCCATGTACTATCGCTGAACCTTCCTTGAGAGGTATTCTGACAGGTTGGATATCCTAGACAGGTCGTAAGTTCATTACAGGAAATGGATGGTGGCTTCTTTATAACCACATGATTTCTCACCCAGAAAATGGACCAAGTGTAAGTTGGCAACTGTGAGCACCAATAATACCAAGTGCTGTTATTATTAACTATAATTAATTAAAAATAACCAGATTCTCTAAAGTCACCCTGTTATACAGTCATCGATAATATTATAATAATTGATAAAAATATAGAATTTAACTATCTATCAGGTAGCACTTAATAAAGCCAATTACAATAATTATCTCATGTATGCCTTTTTTTAAATTTTCTCTACCTTAAATATATGATCTAAATTATTGATAGAGTGTAAGATATTTTTATATAATTTTACCTCAATTGTGACGGTCTCCTAAAATTTTTTTTTATAGTTTTAGAAAAATTATAATTTTATAGTATATAATAATGAAAACGTTATTTGTATACTTAGATAAAAGTGTGAAATTCAGTGACATATCCAGGGAGGGATGGATAGATTGTTAAAACCCCTCTTGAAATTTTATTCTTATTTAAAAATGTATTTATATTTATATTATGTATACTTATATGTATGTGACAATAAAAATGTAGTTTGTAATTTCAGTTAAACATTTTTTTTTTAGTAAATAACTAGATATGACATTGGAAAGGGGAAATCATAAGGGTACTTTTATTTTTGTAGAATATTGGGGACCAAAGTTATAAGCTTTAACGAGTGCACTGGGTTATCTTAAACATGCCATTTCTCCATGATATCTTTTTTAGTCTAACCTCCAGCCTTGCATTTTGATTGGCTATAACTAAGCAATTGAATAATATGTAAAACAAGATTTATACATACAGCAGCTAAAGTTTTATATGACGGACCACCAGGAATAACAATAGCATCATATTTATTACACTTTACATCGCTTAATTTGGCATCAGTTTTTATAAGAACGTTAGATTTAGTCTTGACGTGTTCAGAGTCTGTTAAATCAGCAATGGTAACATTAATCTAAACAAACAAGCAAACATTTAAAAAATTTTCAGTTAAATATTATTAGAACACAGTTATAAGAAGTTTTTATACATCAACATTTTACTACTATTTATCGTATTAAAATGTTGGTAATGATATAAATTAGTTAAAAGAAGCATTGGGAGTAAGTAGTGTGCAAACAGTCCCCTCCCAGCTTGGCGATTACTTGGGGAAAAAAAAAGAGTTAAAAGATGCATTAAGAGCAGATTTTTATTAATTAGGTATGCAAAGTTTTTTTATATCTCAACTCTTATCATTTGTACTTAGTTCTTTAAATACCTAGAGATTCGGGCAATTGGTTTGCCAGTTAGAACGCTCGTTCTTATTAAAACTAATTTTAGGTCTTTAGGATTAAGTCTAAGTGTAGATTAGAAGTAATGTATGAAAACTAAAATTATAGAACTACAAATTAATAAAAAAGTTATTTTGAGAGAATTGAGCACTGTCACGTCATAACTACTGAATTGCAGGTGGAAATTTATCAATTATGATAAGTACCACATAAGTGTAATGATTAGTTACGATTATGATAACTTTTTATGAATTTTACTATGGTATTAAGTGAAATAGAATATACATTTTTAAGAAGCGTATGTTCCTTATTAAAGAAATTAACTATTAATAACTAATAACTCTTATATAGGTGAGAGCAGTTTTAAAGACTAATAAATAATAAATAATTTTGTTTACATTAGCACGGCGAAGGATATCAACGGGAGCGATCAATTCTAGTTCCTCGCTTCCTTCAGCTACAATAAACAGGGCCGATTTTCCTGACATGGTACAATGTGTTATTACAAAGTGTCTGTAATTGAAATAATTAAATCTGTTTGTTAGCGCTGACTCAACAAAAAATTGTGTGAAATGAAAGCTGTGACAAACAGTGTGTCTTTTAACTTTGCCAAATACTTTTAAAAGCATATTAATTTATTACCCTCAACGAAATCCAGTCTCTACGACAAATTAACAAACTAGATGTTATTGCAGAACTCTGAAGTTGGAATTATATAGTTATTAGTTATTACACAGATTATAATATGAATAATGAATTTATATGATTTCATATATCTAAAATCTGTGATTACCCATTACTTAATTGTAGATAATGTACGTTTGGTAGTTTTCTGCAGGTTAGGCAATAGAAATTAAAGTACGTTTTAAGCGTCCTCTAAACTGAAGATAAGGAATGCCGGTCGTATTATAAAGATTATAGAACAACACAAACATAATAATTATTGCAAAAAAAACTTCATTAACGTTGGGTTGCGATGATTTTTGTCGAATTCTTAATTATATCTCTAAGAAATTATGAAATGGTGAAGGGTAGGTAATAGGTATTGAAAGCTGTCTGTTTTTTGACGTATTAGACCAAATAGTCTGACAAAACTAAATGGTTTAAATGAATATCGGTTTCCTTCATAACCTAGGTATAGTAAAGTAGTCAAATAATCACTTTAAAGAATGGAAATCGGACTACCTTAAGCGTTAAGTAGGCATTTAAGTCTAAAATACCAACAAAACGGCGTTTACTCGTAAAACAAATTTTATAAGTTAAAATTAATACTTTGAAGCTTTTACTAATTAATCTGTTAATAAATTGACATGGTCGAAATTCACAGAAACCTTCTTTTTCTAAATTATTACTTATATAAAACTCCTTTTACCCGATTACTTTCAATCCCCACATTAAATCATTAACAAAATATAATATTTATTGTTTATTATTTTTATTTTAATACGTTTTTAATTTAAATACAATTATATCGATTTTTATTACGATACGATAATATTGAACAATGATCACCGTTCTCACCAATAAATAATAATATTTTAATAGTAGGCTGAACCGTTCTTAAATGATAAGCAAAGCTGGTAAGAAGTGAGAACTGTCATCAGGAGTATTAATTCTAATATGACTTATTTCGTAATACGAAATTCGTATAAATTATTATTAAAATTTTAACGGTAATGTGTTAAAAACTAAAAAGTGTATTAATCGATACAAATTACAATCGATATTATCGATAATAAATGGTACCATACTATCGAGCAAACGTAAATGACCGAATCGTATGTTGAAGGGCATTGCGATTGCGCCGGTTATTGATTTTAACGTCTTCCCGCTTCCCCCTGCCCATCAATCCAGGCTCCAGCTACCAGCGGCCAGTATTATAATCAGTTTATTTCACTGCCTTCGCCCGTCAGTTCGTTTGTGGATTTCTGCGTCCTGGATTAAAAGGATATCGTTTTTCTGTTTCTTCATTAATCTACTGAAATGGCATTAAACAAACTTAGTATCAAGGGTTTGGAAGTGGCGAACAAACGCGTATTGATAAGGTACTTTTAAATTAAAATTATAATAATAATTATAGTTTTGTTTGGAGTAGGATGGAATTTAGAAGCTCCGACAACCTTCTAAGTATATTTTCATACCAAATATATTTTGTCAAGTTTTATTAAGTAAATTGTTTGTTAGTTGCACTTGTTTACAGCATTTTGCTCAGGGGTACAGCAGATAGCCACTTTTTTTTGTTATAAGGAAAATGTTTAAATGATCGGAACCAATTTTACTTTACTGGACACCCTTTTTATTATGTCATATCATAATCTTTTTTGCGCTGATTACAAATCTGAGTTCGGAAATTGGCGGAGTCCTCTGTTCAAAGTACAGCTACTTGAACTTTAAGAATATTGTTACGCGAGACTACCGCGGCCCCCTGGGCGGCAGGCTCTGAAATTGATCAGTGAAAAAACCTCACCAAACCAATCCCTCTCTCCCTCAAAATAGTTGACGAAAAAATTTAAGTGTGCATTAAAAAAAAGGACCACAAAGGGCGGGGCACAGTCTAGTCAGCCGCTAGCTGTTGCCACCGCACGGCTCGGTCAACATGTCTATAACCTACTGTTATATGGAGAAAACTTCAAAGTTCAATTAGCTAAAACTTTTATACTAGAAGAGTCCGCCTAATTCTGACTTCAGATTTGTAATTAGCGTAAAAAACACTATAAATTATAATATGGCATAAAAAAGGGTGTCCGGTAAAATAAATTTATGACAATTGATCCCACATTTCCAGTTTGTTAAGGCTATACCAAGGTCAACCTGTCACCTAAAAGGCCTCAGATTTTAAATCTCCAAAAGGTCCCCAAACCATTTTGATTTGTATATTTTACACAATTTTACAGTTGTTTTTCCCTAGTAAATCCCACATATTATGTTAAATGCCCAAACCCTGGGGCTTCCGAGGCTTTCAGGGTCTCGGTTGTAGTTTTGCCCTGGTAACCTTCGTCAGTGTGACCCTGGTTCGCACTATAGACCAAATGCTTATGTTCGAGACAAAAACAATTGAATGTTCATATTTATCATTCAGGAGCAGAGTAATAAAGTCCTGCAAACGAATCGTTGGACTATATGTAGTTATAGTGTAGAGGCACTTTAATACAAAGCCGCACGCCTCACTCACATATGATACTGGCCTATGGAAATAAGCCATGTCATAGAATTAAAATACTTAACTTTAGTATTTAAGCAGGACGATTGGTCAAGGGGATAAAGTGACAGCGTGTTAGTGCTAAATGTCATAGATCGACACTTGGTCAGGCGGTTTCGGAAAATTACACTTTGTTGTAAATATTTAGGTTGCTATAGGTGAGTGAATCAAGTATGGGTAACAACGGTAATATATTATGATAGACAGTCTTCCCTAAGTGTCTTCCCCCTTTATACTACAAATACATTTTTTAGCACATTATGTCAAAACAATGCTTTTTATCAATATTTGTAATTCCATTATTACAGATTCGCATCAAAGCGTTTATTTCAAAGTTATTTTATCACATTCAGTTATAATAATTCATATAGACCTGTTACCTCCCCCACCCCAATATGCTCCATCCTTACTATGCCCCTACGTCTGTTCTGACTTTTAAAGTTGAATTTATGTAGGAAAAGGTATTTAGTATTAAAATAAACATAAAAAGTGTAAACCTGTGTTTATAAATATAAACATACATTTTCATGAATAATATCATGTGTCCACACATACATGGCTTTTGCCGCCCGACATGGCCGTGCGTCTTAATTTGCATTCACAAAGTTTTTTGGGCGCAGAATTTTCAGAGCCGTGCCGCAAAATCAGCGATCAGGTAGGTGAGCAGTTTAAATTTAAGAAAAGCCGAGCGGTCTGTGTGACCATGTCGGGATAGTGTGGACGTGCATGTGTAGCCTAACAATGGGTGGCTGTAATTATATGGGATGATCAATTACTGTAAAAGACACTCATTTTCTTTAAAATGATTATCCTTAAACTGTTCACTCTGTATTTCAAATTTAGTAATACCACGGTTCACGTCAAGTTGAAATATATATTTTTAAAATATTATCTTTTTGTGTTATTTACAAGTTTCGCAGCCCTAGTGCACATTTAAGCGCGCTTGAAAGAATAGCATCTTCTTCTGGTGCCATTTATAATAAGACTGTGTCAGATTATTAGATGGCCAAAATATTCTGTATAGTAAATTTTCTTAATGCCGCGGCATGTGTGCCGCGTATATGTGGATAGATACTCTATTGCGCCGCAAATTCGACTATAAGCCATATGTGTGGACCTGCCTTCAAATAATAATTCATACATAAGTGTAGTTATTATTATTTTTAGTTTTTATCTTTACAGTATTACCTATTAATAATATTACATACCTATTATGTAATACATAAGTTTTAGTTTTTTAAGTTTATTTATTTATATTTAGAAAAAAACAATTTTAACAAACATAATTTTGTTATAGTCAAATCAATCCGTTTGTAACTTCCTCCTTGGTAAAAATGTTTTTGGTATGCCTTTGTTTTGTATTCATCACTTTTCATAGCAGCCAGCTATTCTATTATACAATTTACAAATCTATTTTAGATAATAATTTATGGCTTAAAACATAATGTGTTCAAATGGTGTTTTAGAGCCACCTACAATTAGTGTCCATAGAAAAATCCGAATTTCCCTTCTACTCCTGAGCAGGGATATTAATGTTTTAAATGGAGCAGCATAGGCTGATTTTAAAATATGGTTTTCTTTGCGAAAAAATAAAATTGTATTTTAATACACATTATTTTTGTTTTTTTGGCTGCAAAATTTTAATTTGATGTTTCAATTTATTTTATTAATTTAAATGTAAATGCTGAAAAAATCATTTAAAATTACATGTAAGAAAAATAAATTGAGTTAAAAATGTACAATTACTAATGAATAGGTTTTTTTTTTTTAGAGTTGATTTCAATGTTCCTTTAAAGGATGGTAAAATAACTAACAATCAACGTATTGTTGCTGCTTTGGATACCATTAAATATGCTATTGATAATGGTGCTAAGTCTTTGGTTCTAATGTCACATCTTGGACGTCCAGATGGCTTGCCAAATGCTAAGTATTCTTTAAAACCAGTGGCTGAGGAACTCCAAAAACTTCTCAACAAGTAAAATATGCAACTATTATATATAAATTTACATAAATCTGCATTACCTTTAGTTAATAGTTTTACAGGGTTTAGTATATATTTTTCTTAATTATTAAACTTGATTATGCCAATTGCTGTCTATGACCACTAGAGCTCACGATTTGTAATGTGTTTAAACATACAAGTGTACCTGTAATTAGTGAATCTGAACCAGAACAGTTTAAGATCCATGTATTTTAAATACACGTGTATTTAAAGTTTATATAGTCAATGTTCAAATATCCTTGTATTAAATTATATATTATATTCTATGTAGTATATACTAAAAATTCGGGAGTTTATTTATTTAATTTTATTAATATATCTAGGTGTATAAAACACGGTTTCACATACATTAATACACGCGTACACAGATGTCAACACACGAATCTGAATTTATGGATAACAGTGTTCTTAACCACACATGAAATAGAGTACACATCTTATAATTACATTTTCATATGTGTCGTTCATTGTAAAAGTGAATTATCTCCTTGTAATTGTATATTAAAATAACGAGCTTTTTGTAAATTAATGTGTATGAAAAACAATAGAATTATGCATTCAGTGTTTACTATTTTTTATTTATTTTTGCATTTA